GGATATGGCACGTGTTTGTACAATTGTGTCAGTTTTGTACTTTGGCTTGGTCCTGCGATGTCGGTTCCCGCAGCTGTGAGGGAAGGTGTTTTCCGGGCGCGTGCAGGAGGGTCCTTCGAACCCGCCATGAATATCTAGCTAGCTAGCTAGCTAGCAGGATTGTGTCTTGTAAATTATTTTGGCGCTGGCAAATATTTGTCTTGGCAGGAGTTTGTGACTTGGCTTTGCGAGGGTCGTGGTAAGGGTCGCTGTTTGAGAGAGAGGAGAGGAGAGAGAGAAGGAGAGGGAGAGCGAGACAAGTGTCAATGGGGAGACGCGCATTGGATTCGATACGATTCATTAAACTCTGAGCATATACTACTAAACTCTGTGTGTATCTATTTCTAATTGTCTGCTATTGTTATTACCTGCCGTACTACCTGCCGTACTACCTGCCGTAGTACTATGGGTACCATCAGTGCGATAATCCAGGATGAAACCAATGCGTCGTTATTTGTGTACGTCTGTATTTATATACGTGTGTTTGTGCGCGTCTGAATGCCTTTATGTAAATTTGTATGCATATGTATGTATGTATGTATGTATGTATGTATTATATTTGTCGACTGTCGCGTGAGAGGCAACATCGTGCAAACCTGCGAAAGGGCCTCTGGAGCCCTCTGGTTGAAGAGCGGGTGATGGGGGGCCTGATGTGCCGCACCGGAAAAACCGCTACGCACAGCCCCTGTTCCGTACGTCAGTTTGAGGCATGTACGACATGTACAAGAGTAAGCCTACGAATTGAGGTACAGGGAAGGAGCTGCAAGCGTGAGGCGTATGTGTGTGCGTGTCCGTAGATGGAGACATGGTTAGTTAACAGGTGGTTATTGTTAGTTAGGACGTCCGCAATCGGTTAGTCAGCGATATATAAAACGGGGGTGATGGTGGGTCGATAATTATAATAAACGCAGCAGTCGGCGCAGCAGGCGCGAAGTGGCCGCAGCACGAGGAGGAGGGCGAGGGCGAGGTGGACTGTAATATGCACACACATATAATCCACAATACACGCATACAGGAATGGAAGGTAACTGCAGGCCGGCTGCCATGGGGTGGGGGTGGGGGTGGGTGGTGGGGGGGGTTGGGTGGTGGGGG